TTTCACAGGCCAGGGCCTGTCGTCTTCCCTTTGGTGATGGAAACACCGACTTGGGCTTAGTGCAGTTCTCACCGCTACTTCGGCCTGGCTGCGTATATTTAAAGCAACCCCTCCCCCCGGTCGAGCTTGATATGGGCACCTCCCCCTCACACCATGGCAGGGGTGGCGGGGGAGTGATCGCTGTAAAGCGGGCAAGTACCTTTGTAGGTACTCCGTCCTGATCTTCCTCTGGTGGTTGTCGCTCGAATCCTCGTTGGAAGATGGCGGGCTGGCGCGAAGAGGGCTTACCTTAGCTAGGCATCTAACGTTATCGAGTTATGAGCCGATCGCCAGACAAGAGACCAGACTAAACAGGAGAAGGAAAGTCGAAGCAACTGGTGTCACCTGAAACCTACGTCTTTGGAAATTGTCGTGGCTGGTCGAATCTTCTCGTTCTGTTTCGATGACACGTCTGATTGGTACTCTCGTTGATGATGTGCGCGAGAGAGAAGTCTTGGTTTCTCCAGGGTCTCGAAATTGCCTGCCCCGAGGAACCACGGACAAGTAGGTACGAAGTCCTCGGCTCAGCAGCATGTTGCGCTCACTCACCTTTTGCTTATTCTGCCGCCTCCTCCCGTCTCCTCCTCTCGGGGTTTTCCGTGGGACGAGAGACTTTGAAACGCGCCATCGTGGACAAAAGCGTCAAATGGAGCCTGTCAAACAAGAGATCAACAAGCGCGGGGTGCGCCGCCCGCCCGCCCACACACCCTGCGATGGCTTTGCTTGTCCCCCCCTTCCCTCCCTTGTCCGAGTATCATCGCGCTCGTTTGTTCGCCCACCGAACAGACAACAACCTTGCTTCCACTCAGACCCCGCGCCGCCGCCGCCGCCGCCGCCGCTTCGTGCAGGCAGGGAGTGAGTGGATGGACGGGGGACTTTTTCCCTGGCCCACTGCCGAGAAGGACTAGCTGCTGGCTGCTCGACATGGTCTGATTTTCTTCTCAATGAAGCTCAAGAAAAAAAAAAAGGTTCCTTTACCCTGGCCATTCGACGGGAATGGCTGCATTGGTTGAGGATCTGACTTGCCGTGGCTCCGCAGTCTTGACAAGGGTTGTCCGTCCTTTGTCCCTCCCCCTCCGCCTCTAGTTGTTCTTTGTCAAGGAGCCTTGGCCTTTTGTGTCTCGCAAAACGGAATGTCCTTCCCTCGTGCCCATGCGTGCCGGGCCGGCGTTGGGAAATGCAGGTCGCCGTCGGCACAGGGGGGGAAGGGTGGAAGAAGGGCCTGTCCCAGCACGTACAGGAAGGACTGCAGCAGACATGGGTATCAAAAGAGTGTGCCCTGACCAAGCCGGGGTTTCGCACCGCCCTCTCTCCCTCACTCTCCTTCTGATTCCGCACACTAAAACAAGCCCCCCCCCCCCCCTCAACTGTGACGCAGAACAAAGAGGCGGAGGCGGCGGGAGAAGCTCGGATCACCAAGCCATCGACCACTGTGCAAGATACGCGAAGTGCAATAGGCCAGTAGCCCTGAGCAATATGCCAGGTCGATGCCCTATAACCCCCGGACCGGCATCTGCATTACGGAGTACATATATGCTTGCATGCACTGTAGCAGCAGCAAGGAAGATCGTACCTTGCGCAAATCCTCAAGAAGCAAATCTTGCCTTGCCTCCTCCCTCGCACAATTCTCGAGTTCGTCGTGTATGCAACACACAAAGAAGGAACGGTAGCAAATCCCATGAGCCTGGTGACGGGACGGTCCATGCAAGACGTGTGGCTGCATGGAAGCAAGCGCGGAAGAACACATGTTACCAGGCCCGGGAAGCACATTTGCTTTTTCGGCCCCCCCTCCCCTTCTTATTTCAACCCTTGCATTCGCACTCTTCCTGCCACTCAGAACGACAGAGGTGGCAATGCTGAGCGACGTGAGGGAGTCGCAGCTAGCCGTTGAGGCCTGCCTGGAACCCCAACAGCTTCTCTTGTCTCCCTCTTACCCGCTGGACTCCAGGAACGGGAGCCAATTCGTTGCCTGCCTGCCCCGGCCTACCAGCCGGGGGGAGGGGCAGGTTGCCTGACGACGATCCGTATGTCGGGAAACCCTCCCGGACGAGGTGATTTGATACTCTGCAAAGGCAGTGCCACACGAACAGCTCCCAGCGCCCGCCGCGTGCGTGGGCGAACGCCCGCGGCGCGTGCAGTGATGCCATGCGATGTCATGCCCGCCAAATCTGCCGGACGCAAGTATGATGCGCATATGTAATGCAGCTGCTTAACTTTGGTCAACCAAAGGGCTTTGCGTCGCGGCTCTCTCTCTCTCTCTCTCTCTCTCTCTCTCGTCTCTTCCCGGAATATCTCCTCCCAAGGAGCTTGTATGATAACCAGACACACACACACCATATCACCCAGGCTTGCGGGTTCAACTTTAGCCTGTCTGGCTTTCATGCCGTCTCCCGGGTCTGGGCCACCACATCTGCCTCGTAAAACCCGGTCGACGCCGCCGTGTCATGGGGAAGGAAAGGAAGGGGGGAGGAAAAAAGGACCCGATCATGCTCGACATAATGCGTCGGCTTGATATCGCGGACGCCACCACCCCTACCTACCCTAGTGCTGAGCTTCGTATATTGTTCACAAGGGCTCTCGAGTAAGACTTGTAATTTAGCCGGGCCAGCCTCACGGAAAGGGCGAGGGCATGATCGCCGTTCACACACAAAACAACACACCCTGGGCGAGGATGTATTTGTCCTGTTGTCGGGCTATCGGGGTGCGGCCAGCAATGATCCCCTTCGCCATCTGGAAGATTGGCCAAGGTCGAGGTAGGTCGTGGCCAAGCCCGTGAGCCGAGGTTTGCGGACCTGCCTACTTGCATCTCTGATTGGCGCACTCACACACATTTCGCATCCTCGCCCGATTTTTGTCTTGCGACCTGCTTCGAAGCAGGGCCGATCATGGGCTGCGCATCCTGCACAGCGCGGTCAATTAACCTGGCCCTTTGCGGGGAGACATCCTGGTTCGGGTAGATACGCCGAAGAGGGACACAAACGGGCCAGGCATCTGGCCCTGCATGAACCCCCCCCCCCCCCCTCCGGATCTAGTTACTGGCAGACAGCGTCGAGAATAAGGAGCCAACGGCCATGGCTTCTGGGAAAAGGAGCACGAGCCCGCGAGCTGGGTGGCCAGCCGGGTGTGACGTTACGGGGGGGAGAGAGGTTTTGAAAAAGGCGCACGCCCGAGTCCTCCCAGCAAGGGTATCACGTACAGCCTCTTCGTAGGGTTACAACTTGCAAGGTTAAGATCCAGTGGTGCTTGTATAATAGTAGTCTATTCAAGGGGGGATGGAGGGGCAACCTGCGTCAGCATCGCTGCTTGTCTCGCCCAAGCAGCCGGCACCAGAATTCCTCGAGCCTGCAGGATGATGATGTGCGACCTGCCTACATGCCTACCCTAGGTGCATCTGCCTACTGTAGCTAGGGAAAACCCACACACTCAAGTTTTCATGCCTCCTTGACAGCTACCGGCGGCGACGGCGGCGGCGGCGGCGGCGGCGGCGGCGGCGAAGGAGAGACGACGGGGTGCAGTGCAGATGGCTCCTAAGGCATGCGCTCCGCAGAGAGACCAAGATCGGCTCTGCATGAAACTGTCCTGCGTCGATGCATCGGCCAGTGACCAAGTGCGCACGCGCCGCCGCATGCCGGGCTACTAGGGAGGGGGTTTCCTTTCAGCAACTTTGTAATCCTCAACCTGTTTTTTTTTTGTTGCGCGCCTTTCTTGATCGTTGCTGCACGTCGGGCGGAAAGATTAGACGCCTGTTCCCCTGCTGTGCATTCGCCCCACGTATCTTGCTCCAAGGGTCCGGTCTGACGAGTATTGTAGATATGCTGCTCACCTACCTAGGTACCTACACCTCGACACTTGACACACACACACACACAGCCACCACCGATAATCTTGCATGCCCCCCCTCCCCCCGTGGTCTTCAAGATCGTGGTGGGAAGGAAAACTGCCGGGTTGTGCAGTTGCTAATGCCAGGCAAAGCATGCATTCTGGCTGTGACCCTGCGCCTCATATGACTCTCTCGAGAAACAAGGACACATGAGGACCGGGTCTGGAGAAGCCGGGTCTAAGCCCCCGTGCATGAACGACAGACGGGATGACAGCAACCAAACGAGGCCCTTGATTTTTCCCGCATGTGGCATATGCATCTCGTCCCTCAGACCACCTGATCGGAGATTCCCTGGTTTCTACCCTTTGTGGGGGATCGCCAATTTCCCTTTGCTGAAGAGTGCCCCTTGTGGCCTTGTGGGAATGCGATTGGGCGCGGAGGTGGTGTCATGAGTGATGCGCGGTGTATATCATGCCGTGTGTATCAATGATCTCTTCCCGGGAAGCATCTCAGTTTCAGCATCCGTGCTTCCGTGATTCGTTTTGCAAAACCAGCCCGTCTTCCTCTGGCCCTGCGCGGAGGGGTGTGTAGCATTCGCTTGAAACATGATCTACGGGTGTATCTACTTGTAGGACGACCCAGGTGTGCTGCAAAGAGTCTGGCAGGCACATGAAAAGGCAGACAATAGAGGGTTGATATGATTTGTGCTATTGGCGTGTCGGATGCTGCAGTTTACGAGACATGGCCAAGATTATTAGGCAGCGCCTGATGGTTTGACAGCGGCAGGTTCGCTACGGCGGGTGCGTTCCAAGACGGCGGCGGGGTGGTGGGCATGTGACCACGCGCAAAGTGGTGTCTTCAGGGAGCGCTAGAGAGGGCAATTATACCACGCGAGTCGTGTCGTCAAGGACGACGGCTCTTTGTTGGCGTCGATGTGGAATTTCTCCACCAGTTTCCCGGTGGTTTCTCGCTTGCCTAGACCATGGACCTCGAACTAAACTCATATCTGCACTGGTCACCATGCCCGCCGTGCCTACGCAATAGCTGACCGCACCGCACCGCACCGTACCGTCACGGTGTACTTGCGATTCGGAGAGAGAAGTTCGCCATCTGCTTCCCCCAACACCACCAGAACCAAAAGATGAGCAGGCCGGCCTTTGACCCTCCCGGCCCGGCAAAGTCGGCCCAGCCCAGGGCCGCGGAGCCGAGGTACGGCCGCAGCTTCGACCCCTGGAACTCGGTCGCCCTGGGCCACCAGCGGGCCGAGACCAAGGGCCCCATGGGCTGGCGCGACAACCGCAACTGGAAGCTGCACGGCCAGTTCCGCGCCGGCCACTCGGGCGGGTCGCGCATGTCGGACGCCGTCGGGGCCGGGTCCGAGGACTTTGACGACACGAACAAGGTCCTCGTGCCCAAGGAGGTCCGGGCCAGGGCGGCGACCAACGTCATGGACATGCTGAGGAACCCCGGGGCGATGAAGACGCAGAGCATGCCAGCGGTAGTGGCAACATCGTCATCATTCCCAAGTCTCCCAGGAGGGACGCCGGGTGGCGGCGGCAGCAGCAGCGACTCTCCGTCGGTGAGCGCGACGGGGGCTACGCTGCCAAGCCGGGAGACGACGACGACAACGACGACGGAGGAGGAGAACATCGCGCTCCGGCGGCGGCTGGAAGACGAGCAGCGGGATAGACAGAGAGCCAACCAGCCACGAAAGATATTCGACGGGCTCGTAGTCTACGTCAACGGCAGCACGCACCCCCTGGTCTCAGACCACAGGCTGAAGCATCTGCTGGCCGAGCATGGCGCCCGCATGTCTATTCATCTCGGCAGGCGGCAGGTCACCCACGTCATCCTCGGCCGGCCTGTTGCCGGTGGCGGCGGGGCTGGCGGCGGGCTCGCGGGCGGCAAGCTGGAGAGGGAGATCCGGAGGGTCGGTGGGTGCGGTGTCAAGTTTGTAGGGGTGGAGTGGTAAGTACTTTGTTGTTGTTCTTCTTTGGACGAAACCCCCTGGGCGTTGGGGCAGCTATTGTGTCCCATCGCCATGTCATGGATGTATCATTTTGGGAAAGATACATGGGCCAGGGACTGTCTACTTGCCAATCTAAACGCTAACAATATCCCCTGCTGCACAGGATTCTGGAAAGCATCAAGGCCGGCCGCCGCCTCCCGGAGGCAAGGTTCAGCAGCCTCAAGGTCGCATCCAGAGGGCAGCAGAGTGTCTACGGCGCGTTTGCGAGGCAGTCATGAAAGCCACGATGCTGGATGGGCCACCCAGCGGGGATCCAGAGTGGCGAGAGGATGACAGGTACGGACGAGACTAATGTGCGAGGGATACACGCATTCATGCAGGCGTTGCTACGTCCGCACGAATATATTGCTGTGCTACGTGAGCAAACTGTGCGGATTCCGCCTTGCTTGCCGCCCACATGGTAATGCAATCCAAGTGTTGCGGGCGGATAGGAGACTCTCTGGGATAGTCCGAGGCGGTAGTTTGTTTTCTGTTTCCCCTTTCTTTCTGCTCCCGGGGCTGCATCGCGCTTTTGTTGGGTGTTTTGACAGCATTGCATGGCATGGCATGGCATTGCCGTGGTTAGGCGCAGCATAGGAGCATAACGGATGACCTGCATCGGGGTGGAAGGACATCTGTCTGCTGGCGTTTGTTTGGTGTTTGCATAGCCGCTCTGAATTGGGCATTCCTCTCTACGTCTAGAACCCGCATACTCCTCCTGCTCTTTTCTTCTTGGGAATTGGAAACGTGGTGGCGCACTTCTAGAAAGAAGGTTCACAACAAATGGTGCTGAGTCTCGCTCGAATGCTGCCCACCCATGCCACTACATGTGCGGCCCGCATCGCCCTGCACTTTGTTACAGCGGCAACTTGTTGGTGCTCTTCCTTGGCATCGGAATGGAAAGTGATCTGAGGCATGGTTCTACGGTCACGAGCGAAACGGGCGCGGTGTGTGGGCCTGTGTGCCAATGTGTACGACCGGCGTGTGTATCCTGCGCTGTGCGACCCTGCTTCCTTCGGGTGACCGTCTCTTGTGGCCGTCATGTTTCACCCTCGCCCATCTCGAGTGCTAGGCCGCCTGGATTCGCGCGAGTTAGGGGCGAGGCCAGCATGAGGCACTGATTCCTAATAAACGCGGGCGGGCCTTTGTCCGACTCGCCGGCAATCTGGTGAATGCTGAGATCCCGGACTGCGGAGAGAGATCTGGGCCGCGGAGTCCCGGGGTCTACATGGATGCGATCCTTTGCTTGAGCGATCGCGTAGGCCATTCTTTTTACGCGGAACAAGCCGTTCAGGGCTATCCCGAGACCTCACCTCACCCCCGTTGTTCTGTTCAACGTCGACCCGATAATACGAGGTTTGGGCCTCAAGGCAAAGTGCCGTTCAACCCTGTTGCAAACTTTCGAATCCTTGAACGTGCTGATATATCATATCTCACAATGTCCGCCCTGCCGAAGCCTATGATCGTCGCCGGGGGGAGGAGGAGGAGGACTGCTTTAATATACTGCGTCATACCGTTGTGCGCCCTCCCCCTTGGCCCAAAGGGCTATCCCACAGTCAAGTGAGCCTTGCGTCAAGGACCAATGCTCTTGCTTTCATCTGTGTCTCCTTGCCCTTTGGGTGACGGAGACCCCAAGCTGCGATTACCGCTGCAGCCTTTCTTTCTTTTCTCGACGCTGTGCGACGGGCCACGGGATGGGGGGCCAGTCCAGTCACGTCTGGTCTCGTCGAGACACCTGTGCGGTCCTGCGTTTTCTAGCGTCCGGCCTTTGGCAAACGCTCGTCATGCGACGTTCCGCTCTTCTTACAGGCGGCTGCATCGTCGGCACGTGGGCAAGAGGGGGGGGGGGGGGGGGGGGAAGAAAAAAAAAAGGAAAACAACACGTAGTCGTGCCCTTTGCTGACGCTCTTCCCCGTTACAGTCTGAACCCGCCAGGGGCAATCGACAGGTCGAGGTCTTGCCCGCTGTTGATTACACAATGGCAAGCGGCCTGGGGCCAGATCAGTTGTGATACGTCAGATCATGGAGCTCTGTTCCCGGGGCGGTTTCGTATGCAAGAGAGAGCTCTTTGAGGTGGGTGGCTAGCAGCATCTATCCGATCAGGATAGGATAGGGCTTAATGTCAAGATGCCCCCCCCCCCCCCCTCCTTGTTCAAACGACGAGAACAAGGGCAATGTCTGGAATATGTACATGTACATCTCCCACTTCGGGAACGTGCGCGCTCCAAGAGCCTCTGGTGCCGTGTCGTGCATTGGTAGGATGGGGAAATGTGCGCATGCAAGCAGCGCGAGCACGGCACTGCTGTTTATGTTGTGTTTCAAGGCCAAGCCCCCAGTGCATGCATATTGGGGGGTGGGTTCTCGACTTGCTCGCGCCGGCGGACTTTGGGGGAGGGGGGGAGAACCTGTTGCTGGCTTTTGGGCAATGGTTATGCGGACGATGATGGTGGTGGCGCTGCAGGCTGTACGCTGGCTCGGCAGCACCCGAACAACATGCGCATTCGTGCGTTGAAGAGCACAGAGGCGGGCAGCTATTCTGCAGAGGAACGTAAGTGTGCATGCTGGTGTTTCTCCGCTGCAGGACTAGTTGTTGGGTGCCCGAGAATGGTAAGTGACAAAGGTCGAGATCAGTAGGAAACGTCAAGTCGGCAACAAGGTAGAATATGAGATACTAAATGTGAATGAGATCAGGTCTGAGACTGTTGGTTTTCGATCAAGTGTAGAAGACGATAGCAATGGTCTCAACCCGAGAGATGTGACGGCTTAGATCTATCAATCAACATAAGACTCGGGAATTCATAATACATGCCACGCTATTGCCACACTTCCAGACTGGAGTCACTTGGGAGCTTCGAAGAGAGGAGCCATCTGGGGTCTCGAAATGCTTGACTGTTCTGTGAGTTTAAAAAGAGAAATAGTCGACCTGTCAAATCCCATTCCATCATGAAGAACTCCCGCGGCGCTTTCGTAAAAGTTCAAGTTTGAAGAACGTATCCATGCCAACCTCCCCGCCACCACCACTTCCCCCTCATCCTCCAAGGAAACACAAAAGAGGCCCCCCTATAGCTTCGCCCTAGCCTCGATAGACCCGTGCTTGCCCCCCTTGTCCTTGAAGTACAGCCGGATGTTCTCGCGCGCGACCTCGACGACGCTCGCGTCCTCGACCGTCGAGGGCACGTTGACCGGCTTGTCGACCTCGCCGTGCACCGCGTTCTCGAGCAGCTCGCGCAGCACCCGGCGCAGCGTCTTGCCGGACCGCGTCTTGGGGATCATGCCCTTGCCGCAGATGAGCCCGCCCAGCGACGCGATGGCGCCGACCTGCGCGCGCACGAGCTTCTGGATCTCGGCGAGCAGCTCGTCCGCCGGTATGTCGGAGCTCGTGGCCACGAAGGCGAAGGGCATCTGGCCCTTGAGGGCGTCCGGGATGCCGACCACGCAGGCCTCGGTGACGGCCGGGTGGCTTGTGATGGCTTGTTCGAGTGTACCTGAGAGGGAGCGAGGGAGTGAGCACTAGGGGTCAGGGGCGGCTTGGATAGAAAGGAATTTACCAGTGCTGAGTCGGTGGGCCGCCACGTTGATAATGTCGTCTGGGACTCAGAGTCAGTGAGGGTGTATCTTGTAGCCTCTTTAATGTCACTTACCAGAACGAGCCATGATGTGGATGTACTAGAAGAAATATGTCAGTATTTGGGCTCGAGTGTTATTGTTTTTTTTTTTTTGTGAAGTGAAGTGCGCTTACCCCTTTCTCGTCGATCCAGCCAGCATCGCCAGTATCAACCCACTTGCCATCAAAGCGCTTGAGGTAGCCCTTGAAGAACCTCTCCTCATCCTCCCACAGCGTACGGAAAGCCGTCGGCGCCAGGGGGGTAGCCATGACGATGTTGCCCATCTTGCCCCTGGGCAACTCGTTCCCGTCATCGTCAACGACGCGCACGTCGAAGCCCGGCATGGGCTTTCCGGCACTGCCGGGCTTGACGTCGATGGGCGGGTGGTCCTTGTTGTCCGTCTTCCGGTGCTTGCCGGCGTGCGGGACGAGGGCGACACCCGAGATGGGCGAGCCAGACTCGGACGACCACCAGTTGTCGATGACCTGGGCGCCCGGTGCGGCGTAGTGCTTGAGCAGGTCTTGATACATGGTGATAATTGCCGGCTCGGATCTCTCCCCGGCGAGGAAGAGCGCCTTGAGCGACTTGAGACCGCCTCGCTTCCCGATTTGCGTAAAGTGCTTGTTCTCCGGGTCGTCCTTCCTGATGGCCCGCAGAGCCGTAGGGGCGGTGAACATGGTGTTCACTTTGTACTCCTCGACCATTCGCCAGAAGGCAGAGGCGTCCGGTGTGCCGACCGGCTTGCCCTCGTAAAGGATGGAGGCAGCGCCAGTCAACAGCGGACCGTACAGGGTGTAGCTATGGGAGACCACCCATCCGATATCACTGAAGCATGCCATCTGCAGAAAGTAATTGTCAGTAAAGAGCTCTGATTCCGAACGATGAAATACGACACTCACCACATCACCTGGTCCGTGGATGTTGAACTTGTAGCTGATTGACAAGTGCAAGCCAACCGCATGCCCGGCGGCCTCTCGCAAGACTCCCTTGGGCAGGCCCGTCGTACCACTCGTGTAGATGATGTAGATGCCGTCCGTCGACCGCACGGGCACGCAGTCGGCCTTGACACCGCGGGCCTTGGCGTCCTTGACGAGATCCTGCCACTGCCGCTCGCCGAGGTTGGGCCGGAGCGGCTCCCACCGCAGCTCCTCGCGCTGCCAGATGATGGTCCGCGGCGTCTTCCACGACGACGCGCGCACTGCGCCCTCCACAAAGTCGCGGTAGGAGGCCGGGGCTTTCGTGCCATCGATGCCGCATGACGCCGTCAAGATGACAACGGGTCTCGATGCCTCAATGCGCTGGGCCAGCGCCCCTGACGCGAAGCCGCCAAAGACGACGGCGTGGATGGCGCCGAGGCGGTTGATGGCGAGGATGCCGATCAGAGCCGCGGGTATCATAGGCACTATCATTCTTTGTGAGCGGAAAAGAAATATTGCGTAGGTACAACGGCCAAGGGAGGATCAATCTCTCGGAAGCTTACTGTACACGAGAACGACATCTCCCTTTTTCACACCCTGTTCCCGCAGGATGCCGGCAAAGGTCTCCACCTCCTCGAGGAGCTGCTTGTAGGTAAAGGTCTGCTTCGTCTTCGTCACAGGGCTGTCGTAGAAGATGGCCGGCTGGTGCCCCTGGCCGGCGAGCACGTGGCGGTCCAGGCAGTTGTAGCACGTTGAGATCTCGCCGTCCGGGAACCACTCCCAGTGGTCATGCTCGTCGCCCGTCTTGAGAGACTTCTTGGTCTTTGCCAGCGCTGCTGACGGCTTCTTGTGCCAGTGGAGATGCTCTGCCTGGTGGCCCCAGAACGACTCTGGATCTTCCAGAGAGTGACGGTGAACCTCGTCTTGCGGGTGATCCATGGCTGGCGATTGGGATCACAGCGGGCCAACTCGCCGCTGTATTCGCTATGCAATATGTCCCTGTGAGAGAATTATAGACTATCAATGAGGCTCAATTGCAGCCGAGATATCTATGGGCGGACTTGAGACGGTGATGACGTTTCTTTTGGGGTATAAGTATGGCTGTCGTCGGTTATGTCGGTGATAGGTCGGTGGCCGGTCCCCCGCAATTGGGGGTAGAGTGGTCGATTCCCCACACCTTACCCCGGACAGGAGGAAGCCAATGGCACTGAAGAACGCCGGCACGGCCGGTTATGCTTCGGATAAGCCGAAGTTGTGTGCAAATGTCGCCCCGTGTGGAAGATAGACTTTCGTAGCAATAGCCGTAGATAAAACGCTCATCGAGCTCGGTTCTCGGAAAGTCGACCAATTGAATCCAGCAAATGTTGTTTGTTTGATGGATTTGTAGGTATTGTGAAGATCGGCTATTCGTTGACAACCCCAGATGATCCACACTGAGGGCAGCCAGGCTGTGGGAGAAATAGACTGGCCGAGGGTAGATTATGTGGTGATAACAACGCTGTGCCAATGTGTTGTGTAGAGGAGAGGAGATATTGAGTGATGTAGAGCCGGGTCAAACAAAATGAGTAGAACTTTTGATATATATATACGAAGTCACTTCACTGTTAGAATTCACTGAACATCCTGTTAATCTTCAAAGCACACAGACATGAAAAGCAGCCGCTGCTTAAAGCATTTCAATTCACTTCCATCATACGAACCCTTTCTCCAAACCATTATTTCACTGGGTTCCTAAATCCGAGCAGAGCACAAAAGAGAAATATAAAATAACCTACTGGGCTGGGTGCGAAAGCAAACTATGCTGCAGATTTAGCAATTTGCAAGCGCCGGTGAAGAGGACTGCCTTTGAAGACAACCGTGATCATTGTTTGGATAGATCTTGATTTGTGGTTCACTTGTTCCGATACTACAAACTCTTCCTTCACGACAGGTTTCCTATGGCAGAATCCGAGGGAGGTTGAAAAGAGGGTTAATATGAGCTCAAGACAACACCGGCATCGCTTGGATCAAACAAAGTAAAAAACCCACAAACTTGACCGTGAGCGAGCTCCAGCCCTTGTGAGCAACAGTGACTACTACGATTGATACAGTCACCAGCCTTGTCCAAGCCTGCCTCTGATGCCGGTCTTGGCTACTCGTACATTCATCCAGGGATTCACATCGAGTCTACCCTGATGGTAGAATCCATCTGAATACACATTGCAATCCCGATGCCCCTGTCTTTTGGCATCCATCGTAGCCAAGATACGTGCTGCCCTGGTTCCGTCACAAAAGTGCATCTCACCTCTCCGAGGTCACAGTCGGCTGGCTCATCAAACACATTGGGATTTGTACCATGATATCTCCGACGAGTCAACTCCGTTGGATGGATTGTCACGTAGCAAGGTAGTATCGCTTCTACAAGCAATCAATATTGCACACACACTGGGACGCACGCGTCTTTCCCCACGATAACACGCGTTGCTGGTCTAGTCGATGCCAGTCCGCAGTTCACCCAAGGCGGTTCGTCGCAGCCCAAGCCGGCTAAAGAAGCTAGGTCTGGTGGTTCCTTGACAGTTCCGCAGCGAAATGATGCACCAGCGATAGGTACCAAGCGAGAGGGCCGACAGGTTGCAGTGTGCTGTTCCTGCAGTAGCGTGCAGCTAGACAAGCCCGAGAAACCCCTGCAAGAATGGCTGGTGTAGCGCCGTGGTCGAGAACCTCAGTCCATCATCACCGTTGCCCAGTGCATTCAGAGCAGAGAGAGGGTTTCATTGCAATTCGAAGCAGGTAGCCAAGGTTGAGGGGAGTAGAGAGGGTTGCTTCAGAGGAAGATACAATACTAACGTACTCCCTGACTCCTCTCCCCGAACCCGAAAAAAGCCTCCATTAAGCATGCAGCGATAACAAGTGTGAGAAAAAAAAAAGAAATGAAAACGATGCTCATCTCGCTTGATGGACCAACCGCCCCACAAAGAGTGCACTGGTGAGCTCCACTGATCTTCTCTCGAATGACTGATTGACTGAGCCTTTTTTTTTGTTCTCGCCACACGGTCTTCGTCAGCTTGGACCCCCCTTGCTGTTGTCATTACGCGCAAGCTGTTGCTCCTGCCTGTGGTGGTGTGGTGGAGGTGCAGCAAGCTTGAGGATGTGTGCTGGGGGAAGGCCCAGACAGTCTTGTGTCCATCCTCAACAGCCGTTTTTGGGGGTCGGCCGCCCACGAACAAGCAGCACAGCAAGCTTGTGCGCCACACAGAAAACGAGAAACGTCTAGGGCAAGCCTCTTCCGCAGTCTAAAAGAGCCCGGCCGGCCGGCCAGTCGACGAGATTTATCTTGGGCCTGTGTCTTAGAAATCGGGAAGCCTAAAAGTTTAGCAGAGGTTGCCCGGCGCGGCGTTTCGGACCGCTCTTTTCTAATGTCGCGGGGAAAGCTGCGTCGTAGGCGAGTCGAGCATCGTCATCACGCAATGATTAGCTTTAGCCGCCCCCAAACCGTTGTCGTTGGTAGAGTTCGAGGCTCTGTCGAGTCCTCCTTTCATCGCACCGAGTCTAGTTACTGCTGTGCGATGTGCGGCTGCACATTCCATCACACTTGGCACAGCAGGACGAGGGCGGGCTGGAATTACCGTGCCAGATTGGCCTGCACCCAGAGAGCACCACCACAAGGCGGCTGGCTGGCTGGTCTGTCAGTCCAGCAGCCGGGACGTGTAGCACGGCACGGCAGAGCGAGGCCCAGAGCGGCACGGGAGAGATGATCGGATCAGCCCCTTTGGGAACACAAGGGTGCTCGAGAGAAGATTAAACATTAATTGCTGTTGCAAGAGCCACTCGTCCCGTCTCTGTGTGCGACCTGCCGAAAGACAAAAACCAGGTAGAAAGCAGTTGGAGTGTTCAAACCATCACAGCACATCATAATAGAAACCCAAACATCTCGAGAAGGAGAAGAGACAGAGAGACACATGTCAAAGGAAACAAGTAGGGACAGGGAAAAGTAAAAAAGTGTGCCGGGCCAAAACTGGTCTCCCTGCGATGCTCTTTCGCTATGCCTTGATTATCGTACAATGAGGCTGGCTCCCAAGCACCGAACCGTTTGTCCAAAGACCATAAAACACCCAGCCGTTTTAGTGATGAAGAAAAGGAAACTCTATGTGCAGCAGACGATGGCCATCCGAAGCCCCCCTTTCAAGAGCTCTTTCGACAACAAAAAGGTGAGTTGCGTACTTGAGACAGGAGAGGAAGGGACACGAAGGGACAAACATCTGAAGGATTCCAAGTTTGAGAGGAAGTGAATGTTGATTGTTTCTGTCAAGCCCATATCAAGACCGGATGGGCTACTGGCCATCCATTCCTTTCCTCCCAAGCACAGTCGAGAGAAAACCAAGGCTGATAGACCGCACACATCGTAAAGCTCGGGTTGGTTGCCGAAACGGAGATCTGTCGACGGGGTAAATCCTCCAAGAATCCTTCTCCAAGAAACCGTACCCGAAAAAAGGTGTTGTAATCCAGAAAAGAAATTACAAGAATCCAGAAATTATGTTCCCTGCATGCGCGTGGCCGTAATGCGCGTGATATAGACAAAACTCCATAGAACGATGCAGAATGATTAAAACGAGGTTCTCTTTCCCTAAAGTGTCACTGAAAAGTCTATATTACCGCTCTTCCCAAAGTTTCGTAAATTCCCAACACAACTCCGCTCCAGTCATTAGTTGTCGATAGAGTGTCTCATGTCGTAACAAGGACGTGGATGCGACTAGGCGTTGTCAAGGAATTTACAGAAGGGCAGCAAGACCGAGGGCAGCGGCCAGACCGGCGCCGGAGAGACCAGCAGCCTTGGCGGCACCAGCGGTGGGGACCGAGGGAGGGCTGGAGGGCTTGTTGCCGCCAGTGGGGAGGGGCTTGGTCGGGACCGGGGTGGTCGGGACGGTGGTGTTGTAGCCGCTGGGTGTCCGTGTCAGCGACGGTGTACTCTTTTCGAGACGGGAGCTGGGAATGGCTTACCAGGTGTTGCAGACAACAACGGGGGTGGTGATCACGGGCTTGGTGACGGTGCAAGGGCAGTCAGTGATGGTCAGGGTGGTGGCCTATTTGCGTCTCGTTAGTCGTAATGTTCAGCTTGGGATAGGAGCGCCAGGCGGACGGAAGCGAGATGCAGGTTTGAGTAGCTTCCGAGCCCGAGGCAGCTGGGTCCGGATTTGCATTCCAGACGCCTGCTGCCCACGTTCTCGTGCCCACTGTTACCCGCAGCCTCGCGAAACCCGGTGCCGCCGGCCGCTCGTGGAATGCAGATCGTACCTCAGTGACGGTGTAGGTCTTGCCGCCGTGGGTGATCTTGGTGGCCTCAGGGCAGTAGGTGGTCAGGGCAGTGACGACCTCGGTGGTGTAGGTGACGTTGGAGCCAGCAGAGACGCCAGCGGCGAGAGCGGCAACGGCAGCGACGGAGAACTTCATTTTGACTGGTGGTCGGGGATTAAGGTACTAAGAGTACTAGTTGAGGATTTGGGTTGGCGTTTGGAGGGTGTTTAACGAATGTACTTGACTGAAAAGTCAGGGTTGGTTGTTTAGCGAGTGTGTGTGGGTGAGGAAAGAAGGAAGGGAGAGGAGGAGAGACGGATGAGAACGAAAGCTCTTATATACAGAGTTGCTGGCATGGGTGCCGGGCTCGCCAAGGGGGGGAGGACCCATCTTCTCCTGGACGTGTGTGTGGGTGTGGATGGATGTGGATGCGGATATGTTTTGGTGGGCACGAGGGTCAAGCATCAACGGACCCAGGGCCATTGGGTGTGAGAGAGAGAGAGAGAGCACGAGAGATACGGGATGGGGGCTCGGACTGGGATGGATGGATGTGGGAGATGAGATGGGATGCAACTGGGGTGGAGGCTCTGAGATGAGCGCTAATGGCCCACGATCGGGACCGGGGCCCGGTTTTCGTTGCTTTTCAGCGAGATTGTTATTTAAAATATCAGTCAAATCAGAGAAACCGAGCTCTCTGCCCAAGCTAGGTGGTGCCGGGGGGTGGTTGAGCCAACCGTGAGACGGAAAAAGGGGAGACACTGTGATGGTGTGGATACCGCCTGTTGGTCGCAGGGGGTGGGAGGGTCGGTTTGGCCGCGCGCTGGGCCCGCCACTGGACGAACCAGGGCTCTCCTTTTGCATCAGAGAACCAAGGAAAAACGAAAGGTCAGGTAATCGATGTACACCTGTTCTTCGTGATCCGACGCAGAGGGTGGATCATGGTACGAATGCTCGCGCCCACTGTTTCCAGGTGCCCGTGTCTCAACTCGAGACCAAGCCCAGTGTCCACCAAGCTCTTGGGCCCAGGGAAGAGCCTTGTGGACAGTGTACGGAGTACGTATCCGTATGTACGCAGAGATGTGCAGCAGCTGGTCGTCTATCTGATCTGGCACAGGCTGATCAGTACAGTACACTGAAGATCAGCTTCGAGGAGATCAGGACGCGGCGGATGGTGGTGGAGACCAGCACGCAAAAGTCCTGGGAGCTGAAAGACGGATCCGCTGTGCGCATACAAGATCTGCTCCAGGGCTTCCGTAGCCTGCCAGACAGACACTGACAGCTTGCTGCCCTGTGCTACACTCGTCAATGGCCGCTGATCACCGATGCAAGGAAAAATCTTCCGCCCGCAGGGCTTAATGCTACCCCAAAACAGGTGCAATCTTCCAGACCAACAGCATTACTTGCCAGGAATGGAAGCCGGTGTGGTGACCAAGAATAGGGAGGTACTGAACTGAACAGACATGGCAGTCCGGGATGACTGCCGGTACTTGGCAGCTCGTATGACGCTGGCAACGCCTGTTGGTACCTTTGTCTGCTCGGCGAGAGAAGACGGATGTCGACATGGTCGGGAATTCGCACTGTTTGGTGGTGCGAAAGCGTAACCTGCCCTACTGCAGGTACCGTCAGGGACCAGCACGCGACGGACCGGGGTTTTACAACCGTTTAGCGGCTGGCCCCTATCCCGGCGCTTCCAAAAAAGAAACGCTAATAACAGTGACGAGGTGTGCGTGCTAGCCAAGGTAGCGCGGAAATGAGACTTCGACGCCACCACGCAGCCGGCCTCGACTTTCCCCAAAGATCCTCACCTCTCACCCAGGGGCCAGGGCCGACCTACCAACTGTGCTGACCAGGGCTGCCCACGGAAACACGAACGCTCCAGGACTAGGTACCAGGGATGCGCCGGTGGAGGACCGCGCGCGAATAGGGTCCCATGTAAATCAGTCTTTCCCGAGACACGCAATCCACTGTGCGCCGCCATCACCAGAGTTCCGCCAATGCGGGCTAGGTACCGTCGTGGGTCGGCCTGGGCGCCCTGATCTTTTGCAACCAAGGTTCCAAATCTGGTAGGGAGAAAAAGGGGAAGGCCAGAGCCAAGAGAGCATGAAGTCGCACACGCACACAGCCGTCCAGGCTGACCACCCGCGCATTAATTGACGAAGCTTAATTCCAGCATCAGCCATCAGCATCTCGGCGCCTGGCCAATCACACCTCCACCGTAGCCCGAATCTGCAAATTTTCATTTCCACCGAGTGAATCGCCGCATCATGCTTGCCCGGCCGATACCTACGGAGTATGTTATCAGTCAGTTCAAGAAACTGTGCGGAGAGAGAGCAGGGAGAAAACAGCTTGGCTGGCACATCGTACTCGGCTGTCTACGCGAAGGGGCAAGGCCCTCCTTATCCGCGTGGTTCACAAACTGTCGCATCTGGCTCCAAGGGCTCCAAGAGGCAGAGGCCTGACAGGCGGCTGTGACTGGCGGCTGGAGACACCTATCTCCTTGTCCAACTCCCTGCCAGTTCATTAGTTATTCGTCACATTACTCCGTACTCCCAACGCTCTCTCGAGGCTGGAGCTAAGCACCATGCAAGTCCGGGGTCTCCTCCTTTTCCTTTCCTTGTGGCGGCGCCCCGGCGACCAGAGTTGGCACTTAGTCAACTCCCATGCGCGCGCCGCTTCTCTCTGCCCAGGCGTCTGGGTGACCTCTCAGGACTATCGAATTAGCAAGCCGCCGTTCCGTCCAAGAAGAGAAGCCGTTGGTGCCAAGCCATGTGTTTAACGCCCAACCATACTCGGTATTGCATCTTGACGAACCTAAACCAGCAGAAACCTTCTAATAATGCGCGCTTCGATGCACCGCCGGCAGTCGTGCTTACGTTGCAGATCTTGCTCACCTTTGCACATGATGAGCGCCCTCATATTCCAAATTTGGCAGGACCAGGCAAAGGAAACTGCAAACGGAGATAACCTTATCCTGTTCTCTCACTCTTTCCTCCCCTGTGAATGTGCCCCATCTCCGGGCAAGGTTGATGGCGTTCTGGAAGCTTGAAAGGCCCCCCTACGGTGGGCCAACGCGCACCCCTGAGCGCCTCGTCTCCTGTCTGGTCTCCCTGCTCGCTGGGCGGCGCCTCCGTTTCACCCAGCATGTGCGAAACTGTCCAGCAAGCGACTCGGTTTTTTTGTGGGATGTTACTCCGTACGGGTTGGCAGGTCCGGGTTCGCGTTTCCGAGATCAACCTCGTAGGGTTTTTACGAAATGGATCGATGATCACAGGCGCTGATCCGGCAGTGTTTGCCATTACTATGGAAACTGTTCTACTTGTAGGGCGCGAGGATGAGATGCGACATGCCATTCTCCGAAATGCTAACCGAGTATATCTACGACTCGGGGATCAGGTACGAGCAGTGGAGAGAGATCCAGTCGTCACAGAGAGAATGTTGGAAGTATCCCCGTGCTCCGTACAGTATTAGACGATGGACAAGCCAACAAATATTCATCATTTTTTTTGTCTTCTTCTTCCCTTTACGTCTCGCTAAAGAACAGGCTCATTTGCAGAATACGAGCTCTCATATCGGTGCAGTTGGGCACCTCTCCCACCAGGACCAGCACTACCACTTCGGGGTAACGTCCGGCGCAATCTAATTATTCCAGGTTTGGGCTTTCCCTTCTCCCGCCTCACCAAACAAGCATTCTAAAATAGTGCAATTCCGGTCCTGATCCCGGGACATGGTTCCTTATCAGCGAGCAAATGTACAATTAGCACCACCATACCCCTGCCGTGTCCAGCCTGTTCCTGCATGGCTACTTGCGCGTGTCGCATGGCCATTCATTTCCGGCCTGCACCCGCAGGTTATTGAATTGAGATCGCCCTCGCTGATGCAAGTGTCAGTCAGTACCGCATGTCAAGGCTTGGTGGCAGAGTGCTACCGTACAAAGTACATCGTACGCTTTCGTACGACGAGGGAGCCCAGTGGACGGGTGCTTTTGCTGATCCTTCCCGCATCGTTTCCCCAGTACATAAGGTCGCGTTGGGGAGCCTCATGTGTGCACACGCAGCTCTCCCGCGCGTGCGATGCGCGTGTCGTGTCAGGACTGGGTCGTTGGCCGGCAAACGTATCCAACTCGCCCGGGAACTGACAGACGGGCAAAGACGCCCCGACAACCAAACCCACCTGAGATGACCGCGATAGCCTACTCTCAGCGGCGTACGTCAACACCCTCGAGTGGCTCCATTGCCCACCGACTCCCACATAGCTTCGACCCGATGCTTCCGGACCGTGAGAATGCGGACCACGAGAATGCCGATATGATGGGTTCCAAGTTCCAACGCCGTTGTTGACTCTCGCCTGGCACGCATAATCATCCTTTGTCTTGTCAGTCTTATGCACGGCGTGTTCGCAATGGATGATACCAAGCGCTGGTCCTCGCAAGTCTACGACCAAACATCTGCCCGGCCTACGGCTCCAGGCACGAGGATAGTTTCTTCATTCCGAGAACCTGCGGCTGCTCAAACCAGAAGCTTTCCTTTCAGCTTCCTGCCGGAGAAGATGTAGGACGGACGACACGACTTGCGGATCAGATCTATCCATGTTGCCTAGGCCGGCGCCATGCAATATGGACAGCCGTTACCTTGGTCTTGCACGCATGGGAAACACGGACTTGCATCAATTCGCCCATTCCCGCTGGCTATCAAGACCATCTTGGTATGAGAATATTACATATTGGGGACTATGAGGTCGATGAGGGCTGCCCTGTCAGTGCCACGATCTCTGAGAAACGGGCACGGCACAGGTTGATTTCCTCGGTTTCTCAACAGGTAGGCTCAGTTCGTGAGTAAGACATCTTGCAATGGGTGATGATGTCGGCGATACCACCGGGCTGTCAATGATCGAGTCCTCCGGGACACCGATGGCCATCTTGGAGCCGGAATCCATGTCTGGGGTGCTGCATTCCGAATCGCTTCAGCAAATCTGCCGACGTCCGAAGCGGGACACACCCGCTAAGACACTGGCCGGCCGCGAGTGGGCCAGTCTAATATGTATCGAGCCCACCACTGTGAGATCATCCATCCACGCCCGAGGCCCGATCGCATTCCGCGATGAGCATTATCGTGATTAGGTGATGCATACGTACTGCACGACCATTTGACGTTGGATTACCAATCTTGACACAAACCTCAACCCTAGACACAATCAGTAACAGCCGTGAACACATTGCGACATCTGTTGGGATACGGATCTGCTACCTTCGTAAACACATTTGCGGCGATTCATTCAACGAGACTCAAGTGAAATCCAGTATCGTCAGTCGACAATGCCTGCGATGATGAAAGCAGTCGGTATGTTCCTCCTCATTCGCGCCATCTAGTTTAACAGCAAGATGCGTGGACCTCCAGGCCGGACATGCCCATTGACATCGCGACCCCGCAGACATCAAGGGCGGCAAGGGCCCCGCCGACGCCCTCTTCATCAATGACCAGACGCCCGTGCCCACCGCCCAGCCGGGCGAGGCCATCGTCCGCGTCAAGGCCTTCGGCCTCAACCGCATGGACCTCCTCCAGCGCGAGGGCAAATACCCCGTGCCGCCCCAGGCGCCCAAGACGCTCGGCGTCGAGTTCAGCGGCACCATCGAGAGCTTCGCCGAGGGCGGCGACGCTTCTTCCGAGGGCGGCGGCTTCAAGGTCGGCGACGCCGTCTTCGGCCTCGCCTACGGCGGCGCCTACGCCGAGCGCATCGCCGTCTCGACCAAGATGCTGCTGCACAAGCCGGCCTTCCTCTCCTGGGTCCAGGCCGCCGGCATCCCCGAGACGTGGATCACGGCGACGCAGGCGCTCTTCGTCGTCGGCGAGTTCGGCGCCGGCAAGTCGGTCCTCTGGCACGCCGGCGCCAGCGGCGTGAGCATCGCGGGTGCGCAGCTCGCGCGCCGCGCCGGGGCCAAGGCCGTCTTCGCGACGGCCGGGTCGGACGACAAGTGCGGGTTCGTCGTGCGCGAGCTCGGCGCCACGGCGGCCTTCAACTACAAGACGCAGGACTGGGCGGCCGAGGTGCTCAAGGCGACGGGCGGGCGCGGTGTCGACATGATCGTCGACTTCATCGGGGCCGACTACTTCCAGAAGAACCTCGAGGCCGCGGCGCCCGAGTGCCACATCGTGTGCCTCGGCCTCATGAGCGGGTTCAAGGTCCCCGACGCCGACATCTCGCCCATCCTGCGCAAGAGGCTGCGCATCGAGGGCAGCTCGCTGCGGGCGCGCGACCCAAAGTACCAGGGCAGGCTGCGCGACAAGCTCGAGGAGTACCTGCCCGGGTTCGAGAGCGGGGACCTCAAGGTGCTCGTGGACAAGGTGTTCCCCTGGGAGGAGATCCAGGAGGCGCACAAGTACATGGAGAAGGACCAGTCGAGGGGCAAGATCATTTGCACGATTGATGCTTAGGTCATAGTTTTCCCCAAGTTGACTGGATACCATAAGGGTGCATATAGGTCGCGCTTAACAAAGAAAACCACGTTGACAATTCTCATAACTTCATTGCTAGGTGTTTCAAAGCCCTGTGATGTGTCCATCTAGGTTCGACCTCGGGAGACAAAAAGACCAGTACCGTGAACGCCAATGACCCCTCCTTGCATCGCGCAAATTAGTGATCCTTCAGCCACTGCAACATCTGGTCAAAGGCGGTGGCCTGAGCAGCTCGAATGGCCGCGTCTTCGTATTCACCAACAACAGCGAAGCCTGTGCGAGTTTAGCAGACGTAAATTCGCTTTAGTGCAGGGCGGCTCGAAGGGCATCAGCTTACCGTGAGGTACGTGAGGATAGACCTTGACTTGATGATCTACGTTGTTCTTCGAGAGGTAGTCCTCGCCCGCTTTGCGGACTTCATCCGGGAACAAGGGGTCGTTCTCGACGCACACCATGTTGATAGGTGCCTTGAGCCCCTCGAAGTCGTCCGGCGACACGAGTGTGGCGTGGGCCAGCGCTCCGACTTTGATGAACGGGCCTTTGCGGATCGTGCCGGCTTCCTCGTCAGGCTGCGGCTGGGCCCAGCCCTGCTCCTGCTCCTTCTCGGAAGCGAGCAGCAGGATGTACCGACCGCCGAAGCAGTAGCCCACGGCGTAGATGCCGTCGCCGTTGGACACGGCATCGGCGAATTCCTCCTTGCAGGCGTCAATGACCTTGTGCAAGATGGGCATGACCTTCTCCTGCGTGTGGCGTGCCAGCCACATGTCTATCAGAAAGCTCTTGGCTGCCTCGGCGGCCTTGAGCTTGAATTGCTCCAGGAGCGAAGGCGAAGCGGGCTCGGCGTCTTCGCCCTCGCTGGTGGTGGAGGCGTTGGGCGCGGCATCACCGCCAAAGAGGTCCGGCATGACAACGACGAAACCCTCGCTGGCAAACTTGTCTGCTTGGATCTGGTTGTTCACCGACTTGACGCCGGTGCCGCCAGTCAAGAGCAGCAGGAGCCTGGCTGGAGCATGGGGATACTCGCTGGGCTTGGAGATGTATACCTAACAGTCATGAATATCGAAATACATCATAATGCAAATGCATGGAACCTTCCAAAAGTCGGTCCACTTACATCCACTCCTCCCAGTTGGGTAATCTCGCCAGTCGAGGACTGGCCCGTGGCTACAGTACCCTAGTTCAATATCGATCCTCTCGAAACAGCAACGGGTCAACTTACGAGTCGGTCGGTCTGAGGTGCAGTGCTCACCCATCGTGGGGTTTGTCTGTGCAGGGGTATCGCTGCTGGTTGCAGGTTGTGTCGCCTCAGCAGCGTCGCTCTCGGGAGCTTTCGTCGCAACCTCTGGGTCGGCCATCTTCGTCTGTGAATAGCTGGGATCGATGTTGGTATGTCAGGTACGAGTGCCAGACGATCTCTCTGATCCGAACACTCGAATCCTGGCAGACACGGCTAAGCGTGTCGAAATGAAGCAAACGGAGAAATGAGTCTCGCGCCTTTATTTGTGTCACCGCAGGCAGATCCTCAAGAATGGGTGGTCACCTGGATATGTCCTAATCGCTGCACCAGAGCTGCCTCAGTCGCACCACCTATCACCAGCTCCCTCCCAGCCATGCCCAGCCGCAGCGTGACGTACCCCTCGCAGACGGTGCCGCTCAGCGGACTTACAGCGGGGTGGTCCCTCAAAGGCGGGAGTCCTTAGGTAAGCCTTTACCCCGCCAGAGGCATCAATCAATGGACGGCTCCACAATTTCCCATTAAAACACGTCCCGCATCTACAGCAAACGCGGTCGACGCGTCTCTTGCCTCCCACCTCATCGCAACAAGGACACCGCCAATAATTTGCTACTCAGCAAAGCTCAGCCCACGTCGGCCATCACACACAGAGACGCGGTTGCGACGCATATCAAGTTCCCATCACAGCCGTCATCATGGCAGAAGCTGCAACAAGACAGATCACCCAGGGCGCATTGGAGTAAGTACAAACCTGCCCACTCGCTCCTCCTTGTGATACAGAAACTGATCGTGGCTCTCTCCATCAGTCTGATCTTCACCGATCCCGATGCCGCCAACACCCAGTTCCCCGTACCGGTCCTGCAATGCCTTCAGATCAAGCCTCTCGCGGCTCAGCCCAATGCTGCTGCCGGAAGCGAGCGGTATCGTGTTGTCCTCAGTGATGTGAAGAACTACGTACAGTGCATGCTCGCCACCCAGGCAAACCACGTCGTCCACGACGGAAAACTCCAGAGAGGCTCGATCCTGCGTGTCAAGTCGTACCAAGCGAACTCTGTCAAGGGAAAGAAGTAAGTATCAAGACCTTGTCTGATTCTACATCACATCATGCTTATGATCCGCTTCCTGCAGCATTCTTATCATCCTCGATCTGGAAGTCATCGAATCCCTCGGCACGCCAGACAAGATCGGAGAGCCGGTAGCCTTCGAAGCAAAACCCGAGGGTGCCGCCGCTACGGCTACCACTATCGGAGGCTCTGGATTCTATGGCGTTAAGACCGAGGAATCCAAGCCTGCTGTGCCGAAGTCCCTGCCTACTCGGACGGGCGGTGGTGAGAACGGCAACAACGTCGTCGAGCCAATCGAGGAGATTACTCCGTGGAAGAGGAGGTGGGCCATCAAGGCACGCGTCTCAAGCAAGTCGGACATCAAGACATGGCACAAGGCGAGCGGTGAGGGAAAGCTGTTTAGCGTAAACCTGCTGGACGAGAGTGGAGAGATCAAGGCCACCGGCTTCAACGAGCAGTGCGACCAGTTCTTCAACGTTCTGCAGGAAGGCTCAGTCTACTACATCTCGAGCCCCTGCCGAGTGCAGCTGGCCAAGAAGCAGTTCAGCAACCTCCCCAACGCCTACGAGCTCACCTTTGAGCGCGACACCGTCATAGAGAAGGCCGAGGATCAGAGCAACGTGCCGCAGATCAGATTCAACTTCTGCAACATCCAAGAGCTGCAGGACGTGGAGAAGGACGCGACGGTTGACATTGTCGGCGTGCTGAAGGATGTTGGCGAGGTCTCCCAGATTGTCTCCAAGTCCAGCGGCAAGCCATATGACAAGCGTGAGCTCACGCTTGTCGACGACAGCAATTTCTCTGTCCGCCTTACTATCTGGGGCAAGACGGCGACCAACTTCGACTGCCAGCCCGAGTCGGTGGTTGCCTTCAAGGGCGTCCGCGTCTCAGACTTTGGCGGCCGGTCTCTCTCGCTCCTGTCCTCGGGTACCATGGCCGTCAACCCCGATATCCCCGAGGCCCATCGCCTCAAGGGCTGGTACGACGCCTCCGGCCGCAATGACAACTTTGCCACGCACAACAACATGGCCTCTATGGGAGGCGCCACCGGCCGCCCCGACGACACCAAGTGCATCCAGCAGGTCCGCGACGAGAACCTGGGCATGGAGGACGTCGCCTACTTCACCCTCAAGGCCACCATCGTCTACATCAAGCAGGAGAACTTTGCCTACCCCTCCTGCCTCAGCGAGGGCTGCAACAAGAAGGTCACGGACATGGGCGACGGCACCTGGCGCTGCGAGAAGTGCGACATGAGCCACCCGCGGCCCGAGTGGCGGTACATCATGTCGGTCAACGTCAACGACCACACGGGCCAGCTGTGGCTCAGCTGCTTCGACGAGACGGGCCGCGTCATCATGGGCGGCAAGTCGGCCGACGAGCTGACGGCCATCCGTGACGAGAACGACGAGCGCTTCGGCCTGGAGTTCCAGCAGGCTAGTTGCCGCAAGTTCAGCTTCAGGTGCCGGGCCAAGATGGACACCTTTAACGATGCTCAGAGGTATGAAAAACTTTTGATTTTTGCAGCATCCTTTTTCTTTCTTGGTGTCGCTGTGCTAATTCCTTTTTACCATGCTGCAGGGTGCGATATCAAGTCATGAGCGCTACGCCCATCAACTTTGTGACCGAGGCGAACAAGCTCTCGGAGCTGATCAAGCAGTACCAGATTTGAAAGGATTACTCAAATGGTTCCAAGAGAGATGTGGAAAAGGAACCGGACAAGGACAAAAGTGATACAGGCATTGTATCAAAGTACTTGGGGGAGGAAGGGTGTAATCGGTCTTTGCTTTTTTTCCCAACTGGACGGGTGGGAGGTATGGGTCATTGTTCTGCTTGATAAAAGAAAGGTATTGAATTGTTGTACTTTTTGTACGTGTCGCATGGCTTGAGGACGAGGCACATGAACGAGTATGATACAATCCGACGTAATGTAGGACCAGACAAATGCAAACAAAGCATGTTGATTTGTTCAAGTGTTGTTGCGAGCGCGGTGACGTCCTGGCCCCCGTGTAAAACATACCAAATCCGGGATGTCGTTCCCGTGAGAGTTTAAGAAGGCTCTCTGCCCTGTGGTTTGAAGAACTGCCCTCCCAAGCATGACTGGACGGGCTTATGATACATGATGCACTCTTATTCATTCCTAGCCATTGGCTCGTATCTACTCTGATTCGGAATAAAGTAGACTTCGACGCCAGCCCGCTCCTCAGTATGTTCCTATGCAGTCCAAAACCTCCTCGCGATGCCAAGCTACCATGGCTCTTCTAGAAAGAAAAGACATCGAGCCCCGTTATGCCGAAGCTGTCTTTGTCTACCCCGGCTTTTTTTTTTCCCCTCTCGCGTTGTCTTGGTTGATAAAACAGCCCAGGGGGAGAGTCGATAGAAACCTATACATGCTCTGCTTGTCCATGATTATTTTGTGCTCAGCGCCGGTAGTCAACTGCAGCCCAGCCCAGTCTAGTGCATGCTCATCGTGCCGCCCATGAGATCCTCGTCCTCGATCTGCTCGTCAAAGCCAGACGGGTCGCCCCTACCGTCATCCCGCCCCGCCTTCTCCCGCCGCTGCTGCTCCTTAAGCTGGTATCGCGCATACTCCTTACCCATGACGAGCCGCTCGTCCATTGTGCCCAGCGTCGCCTTGAGCTGCCGCAGACGCTGCGCAGAGGCGGCCAGAGCCCGCGCGTACTCCGCCTCGGACGTCGCGCTCTTGCTCTCGGGGAGAAACTCGAGGTACGCCGGGCGTCCGCCCTCCGCCTCGTGGATGGCGGCGGCCAGCATGCCCAAGCTGATCATCCTGCGGACCAGGTCCGTAATCGCCGCGTCGGAGGCCAGATGTCCGCCAGTGTCGGCGTTGTATGTCGTGGCGCGAAGCTCGGCAATGGAGACCTTGGCGTAGACATCGCGCAGAAAGTAGATCTGCCATTGCTGGAAAGTGGCCAAGATCTCCCGCACCAGGCCCTCGTTTCCGTCGTCGCCAAAGCTGCTCGCATGCTCCGTGACTGCGGTTCGCAACGCGGTGACGTCGAGCGCGTCAAAGTGCTCGGCAATCTGCAGGTAGTGTTTGCTGAGGATGCCGAAAGTGCGGCTGGTGGGGCCGCTGACGAGCGCTGGCTGGCTTGCACTCTTGCCGGAGCGGAGGAGAGAGGTCAACACCCATTTCTTGTGAGCCTCGACCATGACCTTGCTGACACCGGCGTCACGGCTCGGGAATGTGATGATGCGCTCGAAGGCGGCTGTGGCGGCAGCCCAATCGCGCAGGGAGCAAAACATCAGGCCGACAAGGTATTCGTACTCGAGAACCTGTGCCGGACGGAGGGATGTTGTAAGGCCGGTGTCTCGAGTCAAGTAGCTTTGAGAGGGAAGGCTCGGGTCGCATATCCGCCTGGTCTCCGAGTAGCTGTTCATCATGCCGGGATAAAAGACGATGCTTTGGGAAATGACAGGTAGTGCAGGTGCAACATTATTGGAGTGATATGCCAGCTTTGCTAGAGTGAGATGGTTTGAAGTCATCGTGTGCCCTTGAGGGTCGAGTCGTCGCAGGGCCGTTGTCAATACTGTCACTGCTATCGAAGCCTACGGGTACGGAACTGCATTAGCTTCTGTGGACCAAGCCTCGTAGATGGAGACAGATAATTGCGTACCGGAAGGATGCTGCCTGACCCTACTGCAGTGAACAGGTTCGTGAATGGCGCTCCCGCATACCGTATCTGTCTCGTGTCGAAGCGGCACAGGAAGTTGACGATGGCCTCTGCCAGGGCAGGGTTGTAGTCGGTAGCTTGCGTGGGATCGGAGGGCACGAGGGAATCGAGAATTGTGAGATAGGATATCGAGTTCAGAGCCGGGTCAAGATGCTGCGGCAGAGGTCAGTCTGGAGTCAGGGAGCAGCTCCATCGCGAGACCGAACACACCTGGAGCAGATTCAGGCCATTCGCGGCGAGCTCGGCGGCATGCTCCTTCATGAGCCTGCCGACTCTATGATGGTGTTTTCTCGCCTCTTGGTCATACTGCTCATTGCTAAGCTGTCTGCCAGCGGACGCTCCGGGCTCGAAGGCCAACAGCACCGAGGCGCAATGGTCCATGACAGCTCTTGCAGTGCGAGATGCGGGGGCCTGGGCAAGTAGTGGTGGGGTCGGTCGGTCGAAGGATGGGATATTTGGAGAGGAGAGAGGTGACCTTGCCCTCTGTAGGCTGGTCTCGTCTAACGTTGGAAATGATTGTGTGCCAAAACTCTCGCCCAAACCAGACGTGGAGGTGGTGATTTGGAGCTTGGTTTGCGACGATGTTGATGATGGATGGCTTGTTGGTGGTGGTGGTGGTGAGCAGCTGGAGCCCTGAAGGTGGGGCCAAGGCGACTGGCTACAGGCAGCTCCGCCCAAAAGAGCTCCCCGCAAAGAGCTCCAGGGCTAGTAGTGCTGGGCTGGCCCAGCACCGGACCAAGTGGGCGTCTGAATAGTTGACGGAAGTTCATCAGGAGCTACCTCGATCTTAACAATCAATATCCTTGTCACATCCTTGTCTTGGAACTCGGAAGGGCTATCCCACCACCTAAATCCGATGGGCTTTATGGGTAGACAAGTACTTCTGTTAGCAGTCCGTCAACTAATCTGACCCTCACTTGCGGACTTACATAATACTCCAACTTCATCTCCAACTTTTGCATTCAGTCAACCCAGTTTCTGACTCCCATTTTGAGCTCTTACACTCGGAACACCCCCTCCCTGCTTCGTTTCAGCTTTCTTTTCTTTAGAGTAGAGGACAGGTATCAGAGATTGCAGAGTTCTTGACAGTAACAGCCAAGACTTGGCCACGACCGATGCACGACTGGTCAGGTCCTTACCCTCTGTCACGTCCTGCCCTAAGTTCTCCAAGGGCTGACAACGATCAATATGCCTTACACTTTGATTTCTTTGCCTGCATTGTACAAAAGAGCCAGAATTGTTCCGTCGTCCTCAAATTCAAATGAATTGTAATATCTACACATCCGAGATACAGCGCACTCATCCCCCCGACGCATGCCTACCTACTGTCTCTCAGGACTCTCTCTATTATGTGTTCCGGTGATCATCATAGTATACACTATGGCGTATCTAAGTCGTTTCCCTCTCTGATATACAGGCCACTCACCCTCGACGAAGCGGGTGCAGCACACCCAACAATCCTGGCAGAACTGATCGTGGTCCCGAGCGCTTCAAGGACCACGCCAAGCAGCCTTCGCCTACTGGGCTCCAGCCTTGTCATAACCCTTGACCGCAGTATGCTCTGATGTAGGGTAGAACTTGGCATCGACATCCTCGTCTTTGCCGGCAGGACTCTGGGGCTCATCGTAGTTCAACGTAGCGGGAAAGCCCTCTGTGGAGAGCCCGGAGATTGGGCGCCCCCGGCGAGGCGTGCCGATAGGACCGAAGTCCTGTCGGGGTGGCGAGGAGGCGGTAGGTGTCGGGAGCTGCGGGTATCGAGCTAAAAAGGGTCTCGCGTTAGGGTACAGGGCCGAAGACACTGGACGGGCCAAGTACTTACTCATGATGCCGCCGTGGGTAGGCGTGCTGAGAGCCGGACCCGGGGACAGGGGAAACGGGCTCTCCAAGGTCCGCGGGCGAGACACGTTCGTTGTGCCTGCCTGGCTAGGTTGAGTGCTGAAGCGGCGCCATCCGGACGGGCCCGGGCGAGATCCAGCCTCCGGGCTGACCATGCCGAAGCCGGAATCTGTCGGCATGTGGCGGCCGATGCGGCGATGCGCGTCGCCCGGCATGACGATAGGGCGGTCGAACACGTCCTGGTTGTCATCGCCTAGGTCTTGGATCTGCCGAGCCGTGGCCATCTCGCTCTGCTGTTTCTTGTACCAGTTTGGCAGGCCGTGAAACAAGCCGACGGAGAACTGGGTTGCCTTGTCGAGCGGCATCTCGTGCTTGAACTTGCACCCCTGCTGGGTGAATGCGCAGATCCCGTCGTGGATCCATTTGTCGCACCAGATCTTTGTCTTCTTTGATGGGTTGGCAGAGGAAGATGTCGCGACAATAGTATCGATCCGCTTCTGTCGATTCAGAGGGTCAGCACTCACCACTGCAATTTTACAGCCATACAAAAATCATGTGCAACAAGCCGAAGGTAAGATGCTGAGGGAAGGGAAGGGGGGGGGGGGGGGGGGGATTGAAA